CATAGTGAGTTCCAGGACAGCTGGGGCTACAGGGAGACCCTGTCTCAGAAAGACCAGAAATTTTAATATTTTTATTTTATGTGTGTGAGTGTATTACCTGCATGTATGTAAGTGTACCCGTGTCATGCCCCATGGAGGTCAGAAGAGGGTGTCAGATCCCCTAGAACTGGATGATTGTTAGCCACCATGTGGGTACTGGGAATCAAACCCAGGTCCTCTGAAAGAGCAGTCAGTGCTCTTAACCACTGAGCCATCTCTCCAGCCCCTCATTATTTCCTTTTTAACTGTGTGAGTTTTGTTTGTTTGCTGGCAATGATGGGAACTGAATGCAGGGCTCCATGCATATTAGTCAAGTGCCCTACCACTGGCTACAGCCTCAGCCCTGTTTGTAATGTTATAATACCCATCATCCATTATTTGCCATTCATAGCCAGAGCCTGGCCCTGTAGAGTCACAGTCATAATCTCTACCACTGAGATGGTCAGATGGTCACAGACTTGAACTGTGGTTGTCTCTCAAACTTATCCTACCTTTGCTGACTTCCACATTCCCTGATTCCCTCACATGTTGGGGAGATCCCCAAATCTATTCCTCTGTTTAGGCCTCCCTCTTATGACCCAGATTAATACCCCAGAAAATGAGACCCGGGCACCTCCCACTCAAGATGTTTAAGAGCAAATGCAGTGTTCCTGTCAGCACTGGCTCTTGCCCCACCTTCCCGGACAACACGAGCATCTACTTAGTCATCAAACCACCACAAAATACTGTCGTGAAAACTACTGTGTTTGCTGAGTTTTTCCCAGGCTGGCTCATTCGGTGTCCTTAACTTCTTTCTGACACCTTATTTAAGTAGACGTGCCTATTTGCCTCTCTAACCTTTGCTCCATTTAGACATCCCAATAACTCTGAAAACAAGGCCACCCGTTTGATCTGTATAACAAATGAATAACTGTATTTTCTCTATTACAGTTATTTTTGGTTGTATTTCACAGAACCACAACTCAACTTGGCTTGGATGGAAGTAGACGTGTTGGGTGTGGCAATTTATAACAAATAGAAAAAGTTATATTAATTTTTTGTTTGTTTATTTGTTTGAGATAGGGTCTCCCTGTAGCCTGGAGCTCAATATGTAGACCAAGGCTGGCCTTGATAGGAGATCAGCCTGCCTTGGGCTCCTGAGTGCTGGGATTTAAAGGCATGTGCCAACATGCCTGGCAGGTATATCAATCTTGAACCATGGCTGTACTGAAGATCCTAAATGTTAAAGCAGTGTTCGACCTTCATGGCCACTTTATCTTATACTGGATTTACTAAGATGCTCACACTTGAAGCTTATATCTTAGCTACATTTTCTTCTCTCCCTCCCCCGCCCCATCCCTTCCTTCCTTTCTTTCAGTAGGGTCTAATGTAGTACAGACTGGCCTCAAATTCTCTATGTAGCTGATGATCCTGAACTTCTGATCCTCCTGTCTCCACCTCTCAAATGCTGGGATCACACTAGTCTTGGTTTCTGTGGTGCATACCTAACATCCCTACACATCCCTAACCCCATGGCTATGAAATTATAACAAGAAACAATGTGACAAAGCTATGGAAAAGGAAAGGGAAAGTCTGTCAAAGTCTAGAGGACCAACCATTCGATAATGTTCAATCTGAAATGTCCATGGAACATGCTGACTTTGGAGCACCTAAATTAGCAATATAAAGTGACCACTCCTTCCCATTTAAGGAAACAATTTCAGAGCTTGAGCTGGAAAAAAAGAGGAGAGAGCATTAGGGTAGCTGAACCTCAAAAATGAGGACAGAAAAGCAACAGCGAGACAAAGCGGTGAATGGGGCTGGGCTTCACTTGATCCTTTTTAAACATATTTTATTTATTATCATTTTTAAAAAATTGTATGCGTATGAGTGTGTTGCCTGCATGTATGTAAATGCACCCATGTCATGCAGCCCATAGAGGTCAGAACAGGGTGTCAGATTCCCCTGGAACTGGAGTTATAGACGGTTTTAGCTGCAATGTGAGAGCTGGGAATCAAACCCAGCAAGGGCAGGCAGTACTCTTAACCGCTGAGCCATCTCTCCAGCCCCCGGCTTCACTTGCTCTTAATCAAAAGGCTGAGAAGCAGTGAGGAGGAATTCTGAAGTCAAAGTGACTATTCCTGATGCCACTGCTAGTACCCAAGAGTAAGTAAAGAACTATACTACGAGCAAAGGAAGAGGGAGAGGAAAGCAAAGGAAAAACAAAACAGGAAGAGCCCCGAAGGCTCCAAAATATCCCAAGGTGCATCGTGCCTCGACTTCATAGCCATACTGTTTATTCAACGTCAGTTCAAGTTCATCCAGAAAATCTGTCTAGACTTAATCTTTGTTCCCTTAGTGCACATGCACACACAGACACACAGACACAAACACAGACCTGAAAGATATATTAAGTATTAATTACTATAACATACAACAGGATTCTACAGAAAAGAGTAGAAGCTGAGAAGGGCTGGAAAGCACAGAATCTCTGACTTGAGTTTGGCCTGCATTGTGCCACAAATTTCCAGCACAGCAACAGACACAAAAACTGTCTAGTATAGAGGTTTCCAGCTGGGGTTAGACACATTCTCCCTGGAGACATATGACAAAGTGGAAGGGCTTCAGGGTGTCATATCTGAAGTGTATCGCTGACACTTAGTGGGTCAGGGCCATGGGCGCTGGTAAATACTCTGTAATGTACTGAAGGGCCCCTCACAGCAAAGGACCATCTACATCAGAATGTCAGTAGTCCTGAGATTGTGAAAGCTCCCCAGAGCATTACTGGATATACATAGTAGACTTTCTTCACAATTCCAAATAAATGCCTGGGCCATGCTTGATTAGTAATAAATACAAATGGGGCTTTCCTTAACGTCTGCATTTGAACTTAGACTTTTTCCTGCGGCCTCTACAGGGCTCAATACAGAGCAGGTACCAGAGAGAAAAGGAGTTACTTTTTGTCATTCCCAGCTTGCTGTTGGTCCTGTGCCCCAGAAAAGATGGAAAGCTGGTTTCTCTTTGCCCTGATTCTCAGATACTGAGGTCCCGCGCCCATCTCACCTGCAGCAGGTCCACTGTGGACCCCTGGCATCGGTGCTCCAGGTCTGAGATGAGCTCTTTCAGTGACTGGCTCTGGTGGATCAGGTCCCCCTCAGCTTTCTCTATGATACTCAGTCCCTTCCTCTCTTCCTCTTCTAGGTTCTTCAGTTCCCGCTGCTCCTCTCTGTCCAGGATGCTTCGCAGCTGGTTAAACGCGGTCTGGATCCTGTGTCTCTCAGGCTCCATCTGATTCTTCAGCATCAGGGAAGAAAAAGAAGCTGCTGGCCCTTGACCCTTAAAAGTTCTCTTTAGCGGTATGGGCGGGGGCAGGAAACGGGCTGTGTGCACTGCTTTCCCAGGCCTGCCTGTCTGAGACTGGAGGGGCGCATGCTGCAGGAATGGCCCTGTAGAACCTGTTCTTGGGCCATTAGCCTCAGGTTGTCTTAGTTAACTCTCTCTCTCTCTAGCCTCAGGTTGCCTTAGTTAACTCTCTCTCTCTCTCTCTCTCTCTCTCTGTGTGTGTGTACACACACGCCTCAGGTTGCCTTAGTTAACTCTCTCTCTCTCTCTGTACACACACACACACACACACACACACACACACACACACACACACACACACACACACTGTGATTCCTGAGTGAGTTTAGATCACAGGAACCCCCTCGAGCCTCTCAGGTCTCTGCACCAAACCTCCCTTTCCAATTTTGAGCATTAAGGTGGCAATTACTGGCCCACAACTAACCTATCATTCCCAGCAGGCCAGAGACTGAACCTACACTAAGATTAAGAATTACGAATTATGGGTTACTCCAGGCCAAGGTTCTACTCTTATATAACTGTCTTCAAAACCTGGGCTCACCTGACATGCTTGTTATATAACTCCCCCAGACTCCCAACAAGCAAACACCCTTTTTGGAAAGGATGTGCAGAAGGACCAGCTCAAGGGAAGGAAGCACTTTTGGGAGGAGAAAAGACAAGGGCAGGATACCCTTGTCCTCGGCTCCCAAGGTCGCCCCCCTGCGTCACTCTCACAAGGAATCCCACTTGCCTTCCAGGATTCCCTCTTCTCTCTAATAATAGCTTTTAGCCGTTCAGCTTCTTGCTGCTCTCTCTTTAACTTCTTCAGAGACTCCTGGAACATCTCCTGGAAGAAACATTGCAGGTTAAAGGGGGTCCACTTTGAAACTGTCTTAGTATCTAGACATGGAACGAATTTGGATGAGATTGTGCTGATCTCAGGACAAGCTGGCCTTGGTCTTGGTGGGAAACTGAGAAGGCCACAGTGTGTTCTATACACAGTGTATGTAAAGAACAAGAATGGGTCAACTCTTTCTCCTGGGCAGAGATCTGAACCACAAATCATTTCATTCCTCCATTTCCAGTGACAATGAGTCTCTCAAATTCAACCCACCAGGCCCCTCTCACAAACCATAGCATTAACTCCTCACAGTCTTGCACAGGAAGCAAGAGAGAATGTCTTTTCTCTTTAATGGAGGGCTGCTTTCTATGTTTAACTTCTAGGTAAATGGGAATTCTGCAAAGACATTTGGACTGTCAGTGGAACTACCTCAGTTAGCAGACCAGCTTGTCTAGTGTGCACAAAGTCCTGGGTTTGATCCCCAGCACTTCATAAATACCAAGCCTGGTGGAATATGCTTGTAATCCTTGCACTCCAGAAATGGAGATAGAGTTATCAGAAGTTCAAGGTCATCTTCAGTTACATAGTGAGTTTCAGAAGTTCAAGGTCATCTTCAGTTACATAGTGAGTTTGAGGCCAGCCTGGACTACAGGAGAAAGCTTTTCTCAAAGAGAAGAAAGTAAAACTAAAAAGAAATTAAATGAGAGCATGAAGCAAGTCTGAACCCCCTTGCCAGGACCCTGCTCCCACCTGCCCCCTCTCTATCCTGCTCCCACCTGGTACTCCTGGGCCACCTCCTCCATGAGGAATGTTTGGTGACCACGGTGCTCCTGAGAACGCTCACAAAGCCAACAAATGAGCTTCCCGTCCTCCTTGCAGAAGAGCTGGAGTTTCTCTCCGTGAAGTGTACAGAGAATGACCTTCAGCTGCTTTCCCGGGCCCAGCACTACCTCTCTGAGCCTCTTCACTATGACCGCTAGGTGTCGATTAGGCCGGAGGTTCCCAGGCTGGTAGCTGGTCCGGCATACTGGACAGCTGCTCTTCCCTTCTTTGCCGAGCACTGAATTGTCAGTATTTCCTGTGATGCAGGCCATGCAGAAGCTATGGCCACAATCTATGCTCAGGGGTTCTGTCAGGAGCTCCAAGCAGATGGGGCAGGTCACCTCATCCTGGATGTCCACCAGGACTGCAGCAGTCATTGTAGCTACTCTCCCAGCTCCTCCCTGTCCAGCTCTGACGTGTAGATTGTTCCTGTTTATAGAATCCTAGGTAGAAAATCCAATGAAAAATCACAGGCTAAGAAAGGGAAGGAAAAAGTCAGACACTGGGATAACCAAGGCTTCTCTAATTTCCAACACTGTCTATACCTCAATTCCTATCTGACACTAATTTCCACTCTTATTAGAACAATGATTACAATCTTCTTTTCCTTCTGCTAGAAGGAAGATAAGCTGAGAGTCTTGAGAGGCCTTGTGTGAGCGACCACTCGCCTGACCTTTCTTCAGCCAATCTAAACAGTATTAAAAATGATAGGACACATGGCTGAGCCAGGACTGTTGCCATTTTCTGTTCCTGCTGCAAGGGTGACACTCCACCCTGGATCGCTTCTTCCACGTCATCTCATCAGAAGGGTCTGTTCTGTCTAACCTGCCTTAAGTGTGGCTACCACACAACCACTCTTGGCATAAACTCACCAGCTTCCCTTTTATCATCACCTGGTGTCGTTGATGGTTTGAATCCTCCACAGAAACACTAAGCTCCAGGAAATGAGAGTTGTTTTCTGATCATGGCTGCACCCTTCAGCAGCTCACATGGTGCCTGGATGGGGGTTCTTAACGCTGAATGAATTAAAAGCCAGAACTGTCCCTCCCTGGGTGGATGACTGATTCCTTCTCTAAGCTTTTTCACCTCTTGTCATCAGTACCCTATGCCTGGTCTCCGGGATCAGAGATGTCATTGACTGAGGCCACATCCTCCCTCTGCTCCACTCAATCCTCTCATCCTTTTTGCACACTTTCTTCCCAGGAAAACCCAAACAGACAAGAACGACATTGATAGGAGGCAATACTTTCTTACAACGAACACTTTTACAATCAGTACCCATACTATTTTAACTGAAGGTCCATGTCATTTCCCTCAACACATACATTCAAGCACTTCCATTTTGGGCAAAAGTGTGCTCGGAATACCACAATTCTCTAAAGAAGGTTTATTTGTGTTTTGGACAATTTGTCCAAAAATGGTTCACAATACTCTGCTCCACTGCAAAGGCCAACTCTGTTTATAGCCAGAGAAAAGGAAGTGACTAAGCTAGGCATGGTGGTGCACACCTTCAATCCCAGCAGTCTGGAGGCAGAGGCAGGCCTCTGGGAGTTCAAGGTCAGCCTGGTTTACATAGCCAGTTCCAGGTCAGCCAGAGCTACACAGAGAGACCCTGTCTCAAATAAAAGAAAAACAAACCTGAAGTGAAGTGGAGACAGCCTGACTGGCTCCAATATTTCAGCAGTTTTGACAGTTGGCTGCTCGTGATTGGTTGACAGTCTGCTACTTGTTGCAAAAGGCTAGAATTTGCTTACATATCAAGTTAGGTTGTGATTCATTGTGTAATACGAGACCTTAAGTCAAACTTAAAATGCAGGATGGCAGCTTTAGGCCAAACTTAAAGGTGCCAAACACATGAGACCATTGTAGACGCAAGAACATGAATCCCAAGAGCAATATGCGAACTGAGAGACTCTACACACTAAAAATAAGCTGCTGAATGATCCCATTTATATGACATCCCAGAAAAGACCGTTAAGCTACAGCATTTGAAGGCACGTCAGTGGAGCCAGGGTACACTGGTGTAAGAGGGGATAAACTGCAAAAGCTTGCTGAGGGCGAAGGATGTGGCCCATGCATCATGACTGCTACTTGTTACACAACTATGTATGTCAAAGCAGAATTGTGCCAGGTATGGCAGCTTATGCCTGTAACTCCATGGGAGTCTGGGGTAGGAGAACTGCTAGAAGTTAAAGGCCAGTCTGGGATAGAGCGTTCCAGGTAACCTATGTAATAAGACCCTGTCTCAATAAATAAACCAAACAAATAAGCTGCCAAAATTTTATGCTTCAATTTCCAGCTTATTGGATAAGAATTATATCTCTATGACACTGAACAAAAACGCAAAAATTGTGGGGTGTGGGGGAAAAAGCAACAAGAAAAGTAGTTTGTCATTTGATCTAAGCATAAATAAGAACTGTGTCCTCGAATACAACTATGTGTATGTAGCTATTGACACCCAAAGTGTGGCTTGTTCGAAGTACTCAAGTATGAAATATACAATTGACTTTGAAAGTTTAGTATGGGGCTGGAGAGATGGCTCAGTGGTTAAGAGCACTGGCTGCTCTAGCGGAGGACTCAGATTGGGTTCCCAGCACCCATATGGCAACTAAGGGCAGTCCACAACTCCAAGGGATCTGACACCCTCTTCTGGCTTCTGTGAGCACTACATGCATATGGTACACTTAACATGCATGCAAAGCACTCATACATACAAAATTTAAAAAAAAAAAAGGATTTTCGAGGTGACCAGTATGCACATTAAAGCCTTAGAAGAAGAACTTTCTTTGCCAAGTAGATACAATTTAGCACAGGAAACAGCTAGAAAAGTGGGAGTGTCAAAAATCTGAGGGACACTTAGATCTTTAGTACCAAAGAAGCTCAAGTGGATACCAGAAAGGCCTTCAGAATAAAAGTTGGTGATTGGAGGACTCTGGGGTCAAGGCTGGAGACTCAGAAGACAGGACGGGGAAGGGCAGGGATGCTCCCAACATGAGAGCCTGGTGCACAGGCAACAACGGCTGTGATTACATTTGTAAGTAAATTGGGATCCTTGTGTTTTAGGAATAACACTTTTTATCTTTACGGGTAGCTATGTTCCACTCTAAGCTATTATCTGGAATTGATCTCACAGCACTCAATGGACATTACAATCAGAACATAATTAGCTTCAATTATTTTTTTAGTTTACCTTCAAAGAATTATTCCCTATGCATTTAAAAACTGACATTAATAACAGAAATTTTAAAAATACTGCCTTATGGGGCTGCAGAGATGGCTCAGCATTAAGAGCACTGGCTGCTCTTGCAGAAGAGCTAGGTTTGAATGTCAGCACCCACGTGGTGGTGAACAACCATCTGTAACTCCAGTTCCAGGGGATCTGATGCCCTCTTCTGACCTTCACTGGTTCACTTGTGTACCAGGCAATACACTCATACACATAAAATAATTAAAAAATAAATAAAATAAAATATTGCCATGCACAGATTTTTCTCCTAATCTACTAACTAAACTTTTTAAAAGCTAGAATAAAAAATCTGTAATATTAAAATTTGTGGCATCTGATTTGTAATTCTTAATTCTAAAAATTCATTTATGTTTTAGCTTGTTTTGATTGTGCATTTAAAAAGTCAGGCATGGAGTCTGTCAATAATAATTTTGGGTAATTACCACATCACATCGAGTGGTTTGCTATGTATTTAAACCTCTACCTCAGTTAATTCTCAACAAAACTATAGGACATACACATTGTATTTCACTGCTCAGGCTATGGAGAAAAAAGCTAAAGCTTAGAGGTCAAGCCATAGGCCCAAGGCACATAGTGTCAGGTCATGGACTATGGCACATGCACTGTGGCATCTACACTCTTCAACGTCCAGTTGCCTCAATTGGTTGATTAAATAAAATGACTCTTTGCCTCTTTGGTAGCCCAGGCCTGTAATTCTAGAATTAGGGAGGGTGGATGGTGAGGGCAGCTTGAGCTACGAGGGAGGCCTTGTCTCAAAAATAAAGATAACAACATATATATTATGTACATACATACACATATAATACATAAATAAAATGTACTCAGTCTCAGTGAACTCATTCACAATAAAATAAAAATTACCACTGTCAAGATTCTAGCAAGGTCCTCATTTCACTCTCGGCCGACCACATCGGCTAGACGTGACAAATGCAGTGACAGGGTAGCAGACATCTCCAGAGAACATCCACACATGAACAGCAGGATCTGGTGGGCAAACTGGGAAATCTTAGATTCACCCCGGGAGCCAGAGGGACAGGATCGAGTCTCTTCCGAGCTCCGCCCGGCTTGGACCGGATTCCTCTGGAAAGGCCCCAGGGCTCCCAGCTCCACAGCCGGTGCAGACCAGGGCGGGACAGGCTGTCTGGCCCATCTCCCTTCTCCTCCTAGGAGAGGTCCGGCCTCCTGCGGTGGGAGGATAAACGGTGCTCACTTCCTGGAGCTGCGGGGCTGGAGCTTGGGGGAGGGGATGCTGACCTCTGAATCCACGCTGATCCCCAGGTTTGCAATCCTCCCCAAACGCGAACCTTCCAGAGCAACGTCTTCTACATCCTTCAGCCTCCAGAATCCGGGCTCCACCCTCATTACCCCTGACACAGCCAGTGGCTGCAACGTGCCTCTTCTGTGCTGCTTTGCAAACTCTAGAAAACTCCAAACTTCAGAGAGCTCGCACGCTCTCCCTTCCCGCGTGACCCCACCGCTACCAGCAGGGCAGCTCTGACTACGCCAGGAAACTGCAGAGGTTAGTCCGGAAACGGGTTTGCTCACCTGGAATCTGTGGTCCGGATCCCGCCGAGGATTTGCAGCCAGGTTAACTGCGCGTCCCGCACCAAAGCCAGACTCTGGGGAGAAGGGGCGGGGCCGGTGGAGGAGGCGGTGCTAACCTGGGGCCAACTACTCCGGTCAGCGACCCTGCCCCTCAGTCCTTCTCCCAGGTGTCATCAAGATTTAGGGAGAGCTAGGGATGAAAGGTAGAGGTGTCTCTTCCCCATTCAACAGCAAGTTTTGATGCCTTTGAGAACACGGAGGCCAGCGATGGCACTTGTAAACCATCATTTGGTACTTGAGCTTTTGAGCATCACGCCAGAGTTTAATGACACTTGTACACGGTGTTATCTCTATCAATATATTAAAATGTCCACATAGTAAAATACCCAGTTATGCAAGTAAAAGCTGACCATTTTTGATGGATCCTTAAAATTGATCAATTTTAAATTATATGTGTGAATACAACCATAGACATGCATGTGTGTAATTTTAGCCTACATGGTTATAATTTTTACCATATAACCTACATCATGGAGAGATCAAAAATCCTTATTTTAAAATATTTTTAAGATGTTTCTCAAAGCTTATGGAGTTTAGGGACTGTAACTATAGATTTTACTAAGATAAGGGCAACTTTGAAAGGAAAAGAACGCCAATCCTCCTGGTCTAGGAGACTGAGAATCTGGGTATTACTTGGTCTTAACAAAGTGGGTATAGGAGAGCTGGGAATGTAGCTCCAATGGTAGAGTGCTTGCCTAATAAACAGGAAGCTGTAAACTGGCTCTCTCCAGTAATCCTAGCACTAGGGAAACTGAAGCAGGAGGCTCACCATAAATTCAAGGCCAGCCTGGGATACGGAGTAAGAGTATGTCTCAAGAAAGAAGGAGGTGAATGAAGGAGAAGGAGAGGAGGAGGAGGAGGAGGAGGAGGAGGGAGGGAGGGAGGAAGAAAAGGAAGAGAAGGAGGAGGAGGAAGAGGAGGAGAATATATACATAGCGTGATGAGTATGAAAGTATACGCCAAACACTTGTAAAAATCATAGAAGAGTCAAAATAGGAGATTGAATTTGAATGCCTAGTAACCATGGGTCAAAGATCCAAATAGAAGGTATTTATCTTTGAGACAGGGCGTTATGTATCCAGGCTGCCTGAACTCACTATGAGCTAAGATGACCTTCAACTCCCTTTACCTCCCCAGTGCTCACCCCATTTATATAGTACTGGGGATGGAGGCCAGGGCTCTGGGCATGTGAGGGAAAGCACTATACCAACTGAGCTACAAAACACCCCCTAGAAAAGATTCGTCATCAGTACAAATGAGCGAGGTCCTACGGCAGGACAATTTGGGAAGGTCTCAAAGAAAGAATGTGGGATAAGAGGGTCTCAGAATTTGTGGTTCCTCCAGATTCCTATGCGCTTATGTTGCTTTTATTACTCCAAGCTTGGTTGTTGGGTTACATAAACTGCTGCCTGCGTCTGCTGGTATTATTTGGCAGTTCTCTGACCCATGTGCCCCCTCAAATTCCAAATCAATTCTCAGAACTGTAGCTCTCTTAACACTTGCCTTCTCTCATTGTTGAAGGAAGACCTGGGATATTGCTTTTGGGCCGTACAGACTTTGAACTCTGTCAACTCATACTGAGAACTTGGAATATCCCTTCTACCCCCTCACAGAACACAAGTCATGCACCCTAAGGCCTGGATGTTTTCTCCTCTATAGTTGAAGGGAGCCCTGCGCCCTCCACCTTTCCAGTGCAAGGAATACAGGTGCGTGCCATACCCAGTTTTAGGGACTGTGGAGGATGGAACTCAGGAATTCTACCAAATGAGCTGCGTGCATCCCCAGCCTTATCCTAAACCTTTTGGTTTTAGTCATGTTTCCAGGGTTCTATGCTTGTGCAGAAAAGCACATGTAAAAGTTAACTGAGCAGAGCTGTCATGCAGAGTATAATGAACAGATGCTTAAAGTACAAAGAAGCTAAATAGTGTGAGAAGTTTGGACTTTCACAGTTGATCCTAGCCAAAAAGCCAAGAAATGATGTAAGTTTGTACTTTTTCTGATGTGATTTTATTAATCATGTTTCTTCAGAGAATGAAGAGATAACATACATATACATATATACATGTGTATGGAAAATAATTTATACATATATATGGAAAATAATTTATTTTAAGACATTGGTTCCTCTTGTTATGGAGTCTGAGTCTGGTGAGGCCAAATTCATAGGTTTGATCTGCAGGTTACAGGCCTTGAAAGAGCAGACACAGCCCAACCTTTTAAGTCCAAAGGCCATTTGGAGCACAATTCCCTCCCTGTGGCTGGTGGTCAGTCTTTTGTTCAATTCTGGCTTCAGAATGAGGTACACCCACATTAGGGAGGGTAGTGTGCATTACTCAAAGTCCATGTATTTTCATGTTAATCTTATCTAAAAAATGTCCTCACACAGAAGCATCCACAATCCTTAGCCACACACATTAGGGGGCTTACCTTGGTAAACTGATTCATCAGATTAACAATCACAAAGACGGACAGCAGCAGAAATATTTTAAATAATTTCCTAGTTTCCCTTTTTGATTAGACTACAGAGTCTAAGGTACTGGAATCTGAGGAAGCAAGACTCAGTCAGCAGGGAACACTAAAGAACAGGCTCTAAGAAAAATAAAATCCTAAGAAACCGTCATCTCGGATGAACTGTATTTATTTACTTTAACATATTTTATTCACGAATATAGTCACTTTCCAATGTTGAATTTATAACCATCTTTAAAAAAAAAAAACAAAAAACTGTTTTGAGGCTGAGTCAGGTTGGCCTTGAAGTCACTGTACAGACAAGGCTGGCCTTGAACTCCTGATTCTCTTGCCTCCATCTCTCAAGTGCTAGAATTCCAGGCATGCACCATCTTGACTGCCCTAACTTGGGAACATGGTGTGGAAAGCCGGAAATGTAAACGCAGACACTCCATGACTCAGCAGTTCTACTCCTAGGTACAGAGCCAAGAGAAATGAAAAATGCTTCACAAAGGCATGAGACTAGTTTATGTGTGGTTCCTAACAACCTCAAAGCACAAGCAGTCCAAATGTCCACCCGCCAACAAGTGGATAAATTCAGTGTGATGTTACAATGGAAGCACTATTCAGGAAAAAAAAAAAAAAAAGGAATGAGGTGGTAGCACATTCTAGTGCATGGATGAGCCTTAAAAACAACACACTAAATCAAAGTCAGATGCGAAAGATCTTACTATGATACTTTATTTATTTATTTTTTTGGCCTTTTTGAGACAGGGTCTCCCTGTAGCCCCAGCTGTCCTGGAACTCACTATGTAGACCAGGCTGGCCTTGAACTCACAGACATCCGCCTGCCTCTGCCTATTTTTTATATGAAATATTCAGAGTACAAAAGTCCATAGAAATGTCAGGTGGATTCATGGCTGCTTAGGGCAAGTGTGTGGGATGGGAGACAGCAGAAATAATGGCTTAGATGGTATCACTGGAGGGGGTAATGACGGCGCTCAATGGTTGGCATGGCAATTGTGACACATCTGTGTGGTTATAATAAGAAACACAATTATGGGGCTAGAGAGATGGCTCAGCAGTTAAGATCACTGACTGCTCTTACAGATGACCCAGGTTCAATTCCCAGCACCCACATCGTGGCTACGAACGTCCTTAACTCCAGTTCCAGGGGAATCCAAAGCCCTCTTCTGACCGCGGCATTGCACGACACGGCGCACTCACATGCATGCAGGCAATACACTCGTACGCATAAAATAAATAAATAATAAATAAATAAAATAAAATATTTTTTAAAAAGAAACAATTATATGTAGTGCTTTTAAAAAATATGTTGTATCATATGTGACGTGTCTCAAAAGACTTATCTAAAAGGAAAGAAAGCATTTGATGTTACATCCTAAACAAAGAACGAAGGAGAAACGCAGGCTGCTGGTTACTGAGCGGATGCTTGCTGGATGGCGAGTCTCTTAATTCACGGCTTTCTTGCCACCTTTGCCATCACTTACTGTACAGTATCGGGCTCCGTGGTGGGACACTAACCTGTTGACAGCTGCCTCATGACAGAAGAGCAGCCTTTCTGTGCTGTCTATTTAGGCTTGGTGCATACTTTTTTTTTTTTAATTTTTAAATTTTTTTAGAAGAAGCATTTCATTAACTGGCAACATTCTTTCATTTCTCCCCACAACCTCAGCCGGTTGCTGGAGTCAGGTAGAAGAGAGAAAAATGTGTGTGGAAGGTCAAGGCTGCCAGAATACCCTGACCTCTGAGACCTGTGCACATCTGTACAAGGTCTGGAAGCTGGGGTGGGCATAGGACCAGGACATGCCAGGGGAGGGGAGAAGAAAGAACACACCCACTGCAGAAGAGTCTGGAACAGACTGGAGGGGCCTGAAAAGCCTGCTCTGTTTTCCAAGTATATCCAGCCATTCCCAGTCTGGTTGCTTCTGGAATGAGGCAAGACCAATCCCGAATGAGGCAACACCAATCCTCGAGTAGTGAGAAGCAGAACAAACATGTATTCCAAGCAAAGCAAAGTTGTGGCAGGACTTTGAGTGCCAAGTTTATTCTAAGGGTTTTGGTATTGAGGGCTTAGCCTCCATTGTATTGACTTCCGCATATTATTTCCTCTTTGCTTCTCTCTGTCTCTCTGTGTCTCTGTCTCTCTCTGTCTCTCTGTCTCTGTCTCTCTCTCTCGATACTGTTAGCACTTACATTCCACTGGCTCCTATCTGCCTGCTCCTCTTCACCACCCCTCCACCATCTCCACCGTGTCTACACTACCCTCTTACTCACCCAGTTCAGACTCTACTATTTCATTCACTCTGTCATATTGATTCAAGTACCTGCCAT